AAAAAAAAAAAAAAAAAAAAAAAAAAAAAAAAAACACTGTACAATGAAGAAAACAAATACAACGAAACATCAAGGGAAAATGTTTGTAACAAATATGAGAAGGTGAATGTCCATGTTATGAGAGCTCACAAAAGTTAACATCATGACCCTAGAAGACAGGCACATAACAAAAATAGAAAATTTACATAAGAAAATAATATTGATAAACAAATATTTAAGAAAATGTTTAACCTCTCTAGCAATCGAAGCAATATAACTTTAAAGTGGAATAAACCTAAATAAATTATGAACATTAGATAATTCACTGAAAATAGTAAATTAAGACAACACAGGCTGGGTTTGGCTGCTCACGCCTGTGTCCCAGCATTTCAGCAGAGGATGGCTTGAGCCCCAGGAGATGGAGACCAGCCTGGCAACATAGAGAAATATCATCTCTATTCCAGGCCAGGCGCGGTGGCTCAAGCCTGTAATCCCAGCACTTTGGGAGGCCGAGGCGGGTGGATCACGAGGTCAAGAGATCGAGACCATCCTGGTCAACATAGTGAAACCCCGTCTCTACTAAAAATACAAAACATTAGCTGGGCATGGTGGCGCGTGCCTGTAATCCCAGCTACTCAGGAGGCTGAGGCAGGAGAATTGCCTGAACCTAGGAGGTGGAGGTTGCGGTGAGCCGAGATCGCGCCATTGCACTCCAGCCTGGGTAACAAGAGTGAAACTCTGTCTCAAAAAAAAAAAAAGAGAAATATCATCTCTATAAAAAAAAACAAAATTTTTTAAATTAGCTAGGTGAGGTGGAGTGGGCCTCTAGTTCCAACTACTTGAGACACTGAGTTAGGCATATCTTTGTTCTTTCAAGGAAAATTTCCTATACTTGCTCTTTTTCTTTTTGAGACAATGTCTGGTTCTATATAACCCAGGCTGCAGTACAGTGGTGTGATCTCAGCTCACTGCAACCTCCGCCTCCCAGGTTCAAGTGATTCTTGTGCTCAGCTTCCAGAGTATCTGGGATTACAAGCACATGCCACCACACCCGGCGGGTTTCGCCATGTTGGCCAGGCTGGTCTCGAACTCCTGGCATCAAGTGATCCGCCTGCCTTGCCTCCCAAAATGCTGGGGTTACAGGCATGAGGCACCACACCACCTAGCCTATAGTCATAATTTTATAATAATGGAAAGGGAAGGGATTAAGTAAAAGGAAAAACCTTAAGTATAGCCGGGCGCGGTGGCTCACGCCTGTAATCCCAGCACTTTGGGAGGCCGAGGCGGGTGGATCACGAGGTCAAGAGATCGAGACCATCCTGGTCAACACGGTGAAACCCCGTCTCTACTAAAAATACAAAAAATTAGCTGGGCATGGTGGCGTGTGCCTGTAATCCCAGCTACTCAGGAGGCTGAGGCAGGAGAATTGCCTGAACCCAGGAGGCGGAGGTTGCGGTGAGCCGAGATCGCGCCATTGCACTCCAGCCTGGGTAACAAGAGCGAAACTCCGTCTCAAAAAAAAAAAAAAAAAAAAAAAAAAGCATTTTAAATATATAGTACAGTATTGAGTAAAAAGGAAGTCTCACACCCACTACCCCCATTCCACTCCCTAGAAGTAACCTCTGTTTCTGGTGTTTTCCTTCAGACAAAAGCTAAAGTCTGAAGTGAAAAAAACTAGGCCTACCAACCTTAGGACCTTGAAAGTGCCCAGAAAATTCCTGTCATCTTCACATGAAATCTGCTTTTGCAGATTTAATGTGAAAATTCAGGAGGCCAGGAATGGCTCTTGCTTGTAATTGCAGCACTTTGGGAGGCTAAGGCAGGAGGATCACCTGACGTTAAGGAGTTCGAGACCAGCCTGGCCAACACAGTGAAACCCCATCTCTACTAAAATATACAAAAATTAGCCAGGGGTGGTGGCAGGAACTTGAAATCCCAGCTACTTGGGAGGCTGAGGCAGGAGAATCAACTGAACCCAGGAGAAAGAGGTTGCAGTGAGCCGAGATTGTGCCATTGTATTCCAGCCTGGGCAACAAGAGCGAGATTCTGTCTCAAAAGAAAAAAAAAGAATATTCAGGGTCCTTGGGTAAAAGTTTATTGTGTGCCTACTATATTTCACTGTGCCAAGCAATTAACCATCACAGCAACTCCGTAAGATGCATAGTGTTCCCATTCTGCAAAGGACAAATTTGAGCTTACTGCCTCAAGCTAAGCAACTTGCAAAACCAGAATCTGAATTCACATCTGCCAAAACAGAAAGTCTGATTCTTTTCAGTGTGCCAAGATATATCGACACTCAAGATTTTCGAAGACATTTTATTCAGACTTTTCGAATTTCTGTTTTACTTAATTAATCATATTATGAGAATATAGAGTCACATGACTTTTCTTAGTAATAATAGTGGGTACTAACTAGTTGACTCTCTACATTTCTTAATTTTAAATTTTGCTAAGCCAGATGCAGTGACTCAAGCCTATAATCCCAGTACTTTGGGAGGCCGAGGTGGGCGGATCACTTGAGGTCAGGAGTTCAAGACTAGGCTGGCCAACATGGTGAAACCCCGTCTCTACTAAAAACGCAAAAATTAACCGGGTGTGGTGGTGAGCACCTGCAATCCCAGCTACTCAAAAAAGGCTGAGGCAGAAGAATTGCTTGAACCTGGGAGGCAGATGTTGCAGTGAGCCTAGACCACACCACTGCACTCTGGCCTGGGCAACAGAGCAAGACTCCATCTCAAAAAAAATTTGTTTTTTGTTGCTAAATTTTCAGCCACATGGTGGGGTAAAAAGCTTTTGGTGGCCACATTACTCCCATTTGTATGAATACTTTCATTTGTAACATTGTTATGATGTAGAAAAGCACTCAGCTTCAACCACTTTAACAAATACACTTTTAAATGCAACCCACTTTTTATGGTGAAACCTGTCCAAGGCAGCTGCACTAAATTAAATATCAGAAAAGAGAATGGAAGTTTCCAGCTATGTCACCATTTTAGTAGTTAAGAATAAATCTCGGACAGGCGTAGTGGCTCACGCCTATAATCCAAGCACTTTGGAGGCCAAGGTGGGCAGATCACCTGAGGTCGGGAGTTCAAGACCAGCCTGACCAACAGGGTGAAACTCAGTCTTTAAAAAAAAAAAGAATAAATCTCATCCCATACTTCCCCTTGGTAACCAGAAATAAATAAAAGCATCAGCTTTTAGTGCCACCATGCCATTAAGCAGCTACATGCGATGGTCCCTAAGTCATACTGGGTCTCTTGAGATGATTAAACTAGACTTCCCATCAGTAAAAAGAGAACTTGGGTCACATCCTAAAAATGATCCCCCTAAACATTTAAGTGATGCTCCTCAGTTTGAGAATTCTAGAAGCTGCTGGGCATGATATTCTTCCTAGTCACCTCGCCTACCCATTTTGTTTTCTTGCTTCTTAAAAGTCTTAACTTCTGGTTTCATGATCAGTGTGCTGGTCTGGACATATCCCAGTGTTCGTGGAATTCTGATATCACTTAGGAGGGAGAGGAGACCTGAAAAGCCCATCCCAGAAAATGCTCTATGCCAACAATAAAGACATACGCACAAAAGAGACTTTGTTTCCCAAGAACTAATTTCTTTCCAAGATACTTTTTCAATTCCCCTAAATTACAGAAGGTGACACGCTTCTGTTTTGTGCTAAGCTGAACTTAACACCATGGAGTTGCTGACAGTCTCCAACCAGCCAGAGTTCCTACTTTCCCTTCTCCAAGAGGGGTATGTGCTACTCCTTGAGCTGCAGTATGGGCACCTAGCAGCAGAAGGGTGGCTCATGATAGACATGAAAGCACACACCAGGAATTCTCTGAAAGTCAAAGAACGGTGGAATTAACTTTCTTCCTGTGACGTTTAACATAGCTGAATTTTCTTCTATTTCCAATACTAATCATACTTTCTTCTCACTTACAGATTTCCCTGTTTTTTTCCTGCCTGACATCTTCTCTTCTTGGTTCTTTTCACCTTAATCTTATTCTGATTTTTTTTTTCCTTTTTGAGATGGAGTTTCGCTCTTGTGGCCCAGGCTGAAGAGCAATGGCGCGATCTCGGCTCACCGCAACCTCTGCTTGCAAGTTTCGAGCGATTCTCCCGCCTCAGCCTCCCGAGTAGCTGGGATTACAGGCATGTGCCACCATGCCCAGCTAATTTTTTGTACTTTTAGTAGAGACTGGGTTTCTCCATGTTGGTCAGCCTGGTCTTGAACTCCTGACCTCAGGTGATCCACCCACCTCGGCTTCCCAAAGTGCTGGGGCTACAGGCATGAGCCACAGTGCCTGTCCATTATTCTGATCTTTCTATTATGTCCTCCTGTCCAAGACCTGAGCACTGAACACACCTCACACACTTAAATGTTACCTCCTTCAACTGAGTGAAATGGTATTCATTGCTCCTATACAACTGCTCCTTAACCAAAACAAATGTAAGACACAGTAAGAACAGGAAAAGGATAAAAATAAACTTCGGTTTAAGCATAAATAGTAATTTAAGATGTATAAAGGACTCATAAAATCCCTGATCTGCGGTGCAGCCCTTAGCAAAAAGCCTTGAATAGTTAGGTGATATGAGAACAGTGGCTTAATGTCAATATCGAAGCTGCTCTCTAAACAATGAAGAAAAGCAGAAATCTCTATGTTTTCTATTTCTCAACCACTTCCAGTGCTCATGTACAGGACTCACCCCTAAATTTTCCCACTCAACCTTTCAGGGAAACACAAACCCACACCCACAGCACACTCTCGTCTGTCTACACTTACCCTCACTCTTACTTAACGCTCACTGCCTCTACACAGTTATATTCACTCTCTACACGCTCCTTTCCTTCCCCCAAAAAAGGGCTCTGTTACAGGCACAGGAGAAAATGGAGTGCCCCAGGATACACAATGGGGCCACTGTACTACAAGGTGGAGCTATTAGTAGGTGGAGTTGAGGTATTATAAATAGAACTGAAGAGGGGAACGTTTTTTCCTCCCATCTCTATAATCTTTATTCCTGGCCCCAGAGCTGCTGTAAATCCCAGATCCTGGGGCTCTTCCAACTTGGGAGGGGTGGAGGTTATGAAGGAAACAGGATGGAACCAAACCAGAAAAGTGAATAGGGCCTAGTGCTAGAGGGGAAAGAGGGGCTCTGGGAGCACAGAAGATACAGCCCAGCTCACCAAGGGAGGAGAAAGAACTGGAAGAGGTGAACAGCTCGCTAATAACGAGGAGCATGCCATTTGTCCTTGGTGCACTCACAACACTTGTTAGCGGTGGCAGCAGCCACACAGGTGGCTGACAGGGATCCTAGTTCTCTTTTCTCACCAGAGCATTCCCAGGCTTCTTTCCTTTGTCCTCTCTAGTTATGCAATCTAAATAGGTGCTTCCAATGTTGATTTTTTTAAAATCAAAGCCTTAAACAACAGCAACAAAAATCACCACACCCAGTTTTAGGACTGCCTCCATAAAATAGATCAGGTACCTTTCCATGATGCCAAGCCAATGGGCAGTGTGCCAAGGTAATATACACTATTATGCCCTCCCTTAAAAAAAAGAAATAAAACATGAAGATTATCACAATGTCTTCACTGCCTTAGTTACTACCTTTTTTTTTTTTTCCCTGAGACGGAGTTTTGCTCTTGTTGCCCAGGCTGGAGTGCAATGGCACAATCTCAGCTCACTGCAGCCTCACAACCTCTGCCTCCCAGGTTCAAGCGATTTTCCTGCCTCGGGCTCCGGAGTAGCTGGGCTTACAGGCATGTGCCACGACACCTGGCTAATTTTGCATTTTTATTAGAGACAGGGTTTCTCCATGTTGGTCAGGCTGGTCTGGAACTCCAGGCCTCAGGTGATTCACCCACCCTGGCCTCCCAAAGTGTTGGGATTACAGGTGTGAGCCACCACCCCCAGCCAGTTTCTTCTTAAGTATGCAAAAGCACTGAACTAAAAAACACCCCAGGCGATCACGGCCTGTGGGTGGTCTCTAAAGGAAATGGGCTACTTTCCTATACTGAAAGAAAACATCTGACAGAAAAAAAGAGTAGCTGTAAATACAATACCTTGCTAACGAAGCACCCAATGAAGGAAATATGATGACATGTATTATTCTACTCAGGCCATGATATCCCAGCATAAGGCAGAGTTCTTAAATTGTTTTAAATCTGTTTTTCAACATGGGAAGAGTGGGAAGTAAGGAAGGACCATAAGAATCTCTAGAGACATTTAAAATACCATCGGCCTTTCTTATCCATAGGTGCTCCATCCATGGAGTCAACCAACAATGGATCGAAAAGTCGGAAATAAAGAATGACACAAATAAAACAATACAGTGAAACATCTATTTATGCAGCATTTACATTGGATCAGGTATCATAAGTAATCTAGAGATGATTTAAAGAATATGCAATGTACTTAGGTTATATGCAAATACTATTCCATTTCACATAAGGAACTTGAGCAACAGTGGATTCTGGTATCTGCAGGTGTCCTGGAACCAATCCCCCACAGACACCAAGGGACTACTATGTATAGGTCTCTGGCCCTTCCAACCCAGACCTACTGAACCACAATCTCTATGGGAAGGCCCAGATACCTGCATTTGTTTTAAAGTTCCCCAAGTGATTCTAACAGTATAGACCTGGTTATAAGAACCATAGTTTAAAAAAATGATGGGGCAGGGCACGGTGACTCACGCCCGTCATCTCAGCACTTTGGGAGGCAGAGGTGGGTGGATCACCTGAGGTTAGGAGGTCAAGACCAGCCTGGCCATTATGGTAAAACCCTGTCTATACTAAAAATACAAAAATTAGCTGGGCGTCTATAATTCCAGCTACTTGGGAGGCTGAGGCAGGAGAATTGCTTGAACCCGGGAGGCAGAGGTTGCAGTAAGCCGAGATCACGCCACTGCAATACAGCCTGGGTGACAGAGCAAGACTCCATCTCGGGGTGAAAAAAAATCATGGAAACTATTCTTCAATAAAGAAAACTATGAGTAGACCAAAAACTCAGGCTTCAGTATCCTCATATAAATGAGATGGTTGAACTAGATTAGCAGTTGAATTAGATTAGTGGTAGTGTTGGGTATGGGGAGCTGTTAGCCAAAATACTCTCTGTAAAAAGTGGAATTTTATTCCGGAAATTCAACAGTAAAACAAAAGCAGAGCTGCTTTTGATGGGATAAGGAACGTGTGCTGAGGCTCTTCCCTCTAACCCCCAGGTCACCTCAGCAGAATCCCCAAAGCTCCACAGAGCATAAGATGATCTCTCTCTTTTTTTTTTTTTTTGGAGACAGAGTTTCGCTCTTGTTACCCAGGCTAGAGTGCAGTGGCGCGATCTTGGCTCACCACAACCTCCGCCTCCTGGGTTCAGGCAATTCTCCTGCCTCAGCCTCCTGAGTCGCTGGGATTACAGGCACGTGCCACCATGCCCAGCTAATGTTTTGTATTTTTAGTAGAGACGGGGTTTCACCATGTTGACCAGGATGGTCTCGATCTCTTGCCCTCGTGATCCACCCGCCTCGGCCTCCCAAAGTGCTGGGATTACAGGCGTGAGCCACTGCGCCCGGCCCAAGATGATCTCTTAAAACAGCTGCAGCTTTCAAATTCTTTGACCTTCCAAACCTAGAAGTCCACAATTTAAATGGCAGAGATCCTACAATTTTTGTTTTCTTCTAAACTTCATATGAGAAAATGCCCCCTTCTCTAGTGATATAGCACGTCTTGCTATGCCATCTTCTATTATTTAGAAAGACAAGTGTTAGCCCCCTCACTGAAGTCATCACTGAAATCCAAGCTTCAGTTTCCTGGAAGAGTTTTAAGCTCAGAAAAGAAGCCTAGATACAAGACAGCATGCAAAATACAGGTTAGTGCTTGCCCCAGGAGAAGGAAGAACGGGACCAGAGAGGCATGAAAGAGACTTTATTTATTTATTCTTTTGTTTGAGATGGAGTCTCACTCTGTCACCCAGGCTGGAGTACAATGGCATGATCTTGGCTTACTGCAACCTCTGCCTATTGAGTTCAAGTGATTCTCCTTCCTCAGCCTCCCGAGTAGCTAGGATTACAGGCATGTGCCACCACCCCGTTAATTTTATATTTTTAGTAGTGATGGGGTTTCTCCATGTTGATCAGGCTGGTCTCGAACTCCAGACCTCAGGTGACCCACCCACCTCTGCCTTCCAAAGTGCTGGGATTACAAGCGTGAGCCACTGCGCCTGGCCCAAAAGAGACTTTAAATGCAGCTATGTTGGTTTTGTTTTGTTTTTAGAGGAAAGGGAAATATCTGAAGTGTTAACATCTGTTAGTTCTAGGACACAAGGATGTTTATTATATTGTTCTCTGGACTTTCTTGTAGCATTTTAAGATTTTCAGAATTAAAACGCAAACGCGCGCACGCACACACACACACACACACACACACACACTCTTATTAGCACCATTTGAAACACCCTTGATTTTTATTAAATGTTAATTATAAATATTTCATTATCCCTCACTTGCCTTCTTCACCAAAGCTCACTTATAGACTATATGACCTATAATTACAACCACCCTGGGACTCTGCAAAAGAACACCAGCATCAGAACAAAAGAAATGAATCACTGCTAACAAATTGACACTCTAAAATTAAGACAAGGTCTTGGGCCTCTGAAAAAGGAAAAGAATAGGTTTACATTCAGTTCACAAAGAGTGCAGAGGATGCTGCCTCTGAATATTGCCTAACAAATGGACCTACACCAACAGCACTACACTTCTAAGCCTCCCAAACCAAGCACCCACTCCACAGGTCATGGGAGAAGACTCAATTCATATATAATCCAAATCCATGAAGAATTAGTGAAATATTAAAGCCAATAACTTCAAACCCTAAAGATGTTATTTCCACCCCACAGTTGGTAATGCCCAAAACATGCACAATCAGCATAAAACTGAACAGCACAAACCTGGAAAATTTTTCAGCACACTTAAATGCCCATCACAGTGATTCATGATAAACTGTCATCAAGGCTACTTATTGCCATAAATAAATATCCTACCTATACATCAACCACCTCAACCACCAGCTTCCCAGTTCCATCTGCAACATACTCAAAGAAATCTTTTTCTTTTTTTTCCCCCGAAACAGGAGTTTTGTCAACCAGGCTGGAGTGCAGTGGTGAGATTATGGCTCACTGCTGCCTCGACCTCCCGGACTGAAGTGATCCCCCATCCTCAGGCTACTGAGTAGATGGGGCTACAGGCATGCACCACCACACCTGGCTAATTTTTAAAATCTTTTGTAGAGACGGGGTCTCACTATGTTGCCCAGTCTGGTCTCACACAGCTGGGTTCAAGTGATCCTCCTGCCTCGGCCTCCCAACGCGTTGGGATTACAGACGTGGACCACTGAGCTCGGCCTCAAAGAAATCTTTATTTGTATTCACACTATTATCGGTTCCCTTCTCTTAATCTTCTCTCCAGCCAGCCAATCTTTACCTCTTTGCTTCTTCCAAATGACAAAGGTACTCATAAGCCACATTCTGACGTCTCCTTTCATCCATCTCCTCTGCAGTAAGTCTTTCATTATCCAGGACAGCTAAAACATAAAAGAAAGAATGTAAACACCAGGATCTGTTGCCTTCCTGAGTGATAAAAGATTGCCACAGCATCAATTTCCTGCTACTCACCTAGAAAGTCAGGGTAACTGATGAATGTGTGGCTAACCAGGTGTACTACAATGACCTTCCTAAAAAAAGAACTATGTGGTTTGAACAATACTCATCTTGACCTTTTTAAAAATGTATAATATAAATATGTACTAAATTTAATGTAAACTTGAAAAATGCTATCTTGAGATTTTGGTCCAAATCTGTCCCTACCTGCCAGAACTTCTAAATACAGATCTGATAATGTTGTTTCCCTCTTTAATTAATGACCAATGCCAGCAGTTATTCAGAAATAAGTGGCAGTAATTGTACTAAGCATTTTACCCGCATTCTCTCACTGAAACCTCAGAACAATCCCGTGATTATTGCTCCTATTTTACAGATGAAGAAACTGAGGCTGGGTGAGCTCAGCCCCACGGCAAATAAATGCAGGGCCTGAATTCACACTGGAGAGTCTGTCTCCAAAGCCCCAGCTTAACCTTGAAGCCATCTGCTTCCTTCCTGGGTACCAGGTATGGAATAAATTCCTAACTCCTTGGGAAGACATTCAAGGTCTTTCCCAGTCTGGTCTCCATTATTTTTGCAAACTCTCCTCTGCACTTCCTCCCACCAGGGTGAACTCCACACCACTCAGTTCCCAGCACATACAGTGTCCCTTGACTCTTCACCACCTTCGTCCATGCCCTTCTCTCATGTCCTGTCTCTTGTTCCACCGTGCCCTAACACTTTTTTTTTTTTTTGAGACAGGGTCTTGTTCTGTCACTCTGACTGGAGTGCAGTGGCACAGTCATGGCTCACTGCAGCCTCCACTTCCTGGGCTCAAATGATCCTACCCTCAGCCCTGAGCAGCTGAGATCACAGCCGTGGGCCACCACCCCTGGTTTTTGTGTGTGTGTGTGTGTGTTTTTTAAGAGATGGGATCTCACTATGCTGCCCAGGCTGGTCTCAAACTCCTGGCCTCAAACAATCCTGTCACCTCGGCTTCCCAAAGTGCTGGGATTACACACAGGAGCCACTACACCTGGCCACCTGGCCAACTTTCTACACAGCATTGTTCAAGGCTCTGTTCAAATGTCACCTTCTGGCTAGGGGCAGTGGCTCACACTTTGGGAGGCCCAGGTGGGGGAGATCACTTGAGGTCAGGAATTTGAGACCATCCTGGCCAACATGGTGAAACCCCGTTTCTACCAAAAATACAAAAATTAGCTTAGTGTGGTGGTGAACACGTATAGTCCCAGCTACTTGGGAGGCTGAGGGAGGAGAATCGCTTGAACCTGGGAGGTGGACGTTGCAATGGGCTGAGATTGTGCCACTGCACTCCAGCCTGGGTAACAGAGCAAGACTCTGTCTCGAAAAAAAAAAAAAAAAAAAAGTCACCTCCCGTACTGGGACTGTCTTCCCCAAGCCCCTTCTCCTTACCTACATTACTCCGCACTGCTAGCAGGTTCAGCATCTTTTATCCCTATTGCACCTTATAAACATTAGCTTGCACACCTGTCTGTCTGATTAGAATGTTCTCTGGAGGCAGGGCCTGATCTTACTCATCTTTAATTTCACAAACGCTGCACAATACCACACATATAACTGTTGATGGGCGAAATGTTGATCCTTTAAAACCTCGAAACCCCAAAGGGTCCCCCTTTAGCCAATCCTGCCTGCAGTTCAATGACGTTCAGGGCAGGCAACAGAAAATGAGGAAGTCAGAGGATTTTCTGCTTTTCTTTTTTTACTTTTGAAATCTTGAGGAGGGAACTAAGCCCAAGAAAACCGAAGCGCGTTGCCCAGGACGGCACCTCTCAGCTAGCCTAGGATCGGGCAGGTCTGGACCTCGGTCTGCCCCCTGCGTCCACCCCGCAGGCAGCACCGGGCCGCGCCTTTCCCCGAGCAGCGGCAGAGCCCGCGTCCCCAACCCCAGTCCCCGGGACACGCCCTGCGCGGTCCTCCTGCCACCTCACCCTAGGCCGCCTTCCCCAATCTCGGTCGAGCCTGGCCGGCGGGAAGCGCTGGGTGGGGCTCCCCGTACCGCAGCCCCAGCTAAGGCGGGGAGGCCTCGGGGGTCCTCGCCGCCGCCTCGGAGCCCGAGAGGGCTCGCACCCGGGCCCCGCCGCCCGCCGTCCCCCGCCCCGCCGGGGCTGCTCTTCCGGGTCCGAGCTGCCGGCAGCCGCTCTGCCCCACCCGGCCGGCCGAGCCCCCAGGAAAACCGCGCCTCGCCTGCAGTTAGCCCGGCCCCGAAGCCCCCGCGCCGTGGAGCCCCGCACTCACAGCCATAGTGCGGCCGGGCCACGCCCAGCCCGTCAACCTCCTCTGCGGCGGACATGGCGGCCGACCTCGGGTCTCTGCTGAAGAAGCCGTGAAACCTCGGAGGCGCGGGCGGCGGCAGCTGCAAGCTCCTGCCAAGTGCGCGGGCTGCCCGGGTCCCCGCGGCCCGCCCCGTCCCGTCAACCCCACCCCGCAGGCCCCGCCCAGCGGCCCCGCCCTGCCGCACCGGCCCGAGCGGCCGGAAATGGGCGGGGCCAGAGCCGCCCGCCCCGCCCCTAACCCCGCCCCTCAGCCAGGTCCCGCCCTGCACCCGCTAGGGTCTCGGCAGGCGGAAGGAGGCCGAGCCGGTCCTCCGAACCCGCTCGCGCGGAGCCTGCCCGGCCGGCAGTGCCCGCCCAGGTTGACAGCCCCGCCCCAGGGCCGCCGCCCTACCCGCAGCTCTCACCGAAAGGCTGCCGGTGTCTGCGTCCTGAAATCAAAATCATGGGTCGTCTCTCTTCTCTCGCTGGCCCCCCAGCTAACCTCTGCGCCAAACTCAGAGAAGGCGCCCTTGGGTGCTCCAGGGGGTCCGGTTGGACCCAGGCAGTCCCCAGACCGCCGTGGGGGTCCTCCAGCCCCGCGCGCCGCAGTTCGGCAGCTTGGCCTCAGTGCTCGCGGATTCAGCAGCAGTCACCAGATTACCCAGGGGCTTGAGATGTGGATGCTGAAGCCAAGCTCTGCCCAAACCTCCGACCTTCAGAGCCCTTGACATTGTTCTCTGCAAGTTCCTTTTTAGATAACTCTTTTCCCATATCAGGGACATCTCTTCCCCTGCACCTTGTGGCTTGCCCTTTAAATATTGGTATTCAACGGTATTCTGTCCGCAGGCTTCTTCCGTTTTTTCTTTTTTGTTTTCTTTCTTTTTTTTGAGACGGAGTCGTGCTCTTGTGGCCCAGGCTGGAGTGCAGTGGCGCGATCTCGGCTCACCGCAACCCCTGCCTCCTGGGCTCAAGCGATTCTCCTGCCTCAGCCTCCCAAGTAGCTGGGATTACAGGCGTCCGCCACCACGCCCAGCTAATTTTTTTTGTATTTTTAGTAGACACGAGGTTTCACCATGCTGGTCAGGCTGTCTCGAACTCCTGACCTCAGGTAATCCACCCGCCTCGGCCTCCCAAAGTGCTGGGATTACAGGCATGAACCACCGCGCCCGGCCCGCTTCCATTTTTTTCTTTGCCCACTCAGTAACTTTTTCTACACTTGCCTCTAACTGCTGAGAACCCTTCAATGTGTATCTCCAGGCCAGTTCGTCTGGAAGCCCCTCAATATTTTCAGCTAATGAACACTTTCGCCTGTGTATAGGGCAGACACCTCAAATCCCAGGCGTCAAACATTCACCCTGCTCCTGCTGTATTCTCTATTGATAGAAGTACTCAGTTCCCAATGGGAACACACCAGGTTCCTTGCCTCACGACCTACATTCCATCTGTGTCTATTCCTGAAGTGTCTGCTTTTGTCTCCATCCCTGTTGTGATTACACTGCTTAGATTGTCATCATATTCAGTCTCTCTTCTGCCAGATCGTCACAGTTACCAGGGTGTTCTCTCTAAAATGCAAATGCAATTGTACTCCTCTGTTTAAATTATTTTTTTCCTATTGCTCCCTTCAAGATAATGGGCCAAGTTCAGCATGATTTAGCATGCCAAAACATAGCCTGAATCCAGACGTTTTGCTTCAGCTATTTTCTGTTTCTCTCTTTCTTTTTTTCCTCTCTCTCTTTCGTTTCCTTCTTTCTTTCTTTTTCTCTTTCTCTCTCTCTTTCCTTCTTCTTTGAAACCAAGTCTTGACCTGTTGCTCAGGCTGGAGTGCAATGGCACGATCTCAGCTCACTGCAACCTCTGCCTCCTCGGTTCAAGCAATTCTCCTGCCTCAGCCTCACCGTGTTGGCCAGGCTGGTCTCGAACTCCTGACCTTGTGATCCACTCTCCTCAGCCTCCCAAAGTGCTGAGATTACAGGCATGAACCACCATGCCTGGCCACTGCTCCAGCTATTTTCAATGTATTCACTCCTCCTTCAAACAAAGATACTTCAAAACCTGTAAGAACAAAATACCCCTATAGAAAAGTGGGCAAGAGATTAATTTATTAAACTTACAAAGTAAAACATTATTTCATTCTTAAGCTTTTAAGTTCACTTTACAAACAGCATTACTTTGGCCCGGCGTGGTGGCTCACGCCTGAAATCCAAGCACTTTGGAGGCCAAGGCAGGCGGATCACCTGAGATTGGGAGTTCAAGACCAGCCTGACCAACATGGTGAAACCCCATCTTTTTAAAAATAAATTAATTTAAAAAAAAGAAACAAATTGTATGATTCTATTTATAAATCTAGCACATTTCACTAAACACTTCTCAGAAACCAAATGATTCATTTTTTGGGGGGGGGTCACATTTTTATTGGGGCCTAGAGGGGATGTGGTCTCCTCCGTGTCAATGGAAGTGCTTGCAGTTTCTTCAGCCACTCTGAGCTTGGGCCTTGGGGATGGCTGAGCACATCCAGTACGTTCCCATCATCTCAGAGGGGCACTGGGTTGTTGTAGGGCGTGGCCTTTTTGATCCTGGTGGAGTACTTGGTGTAGGGCTGACTGGGGTCAGAATTATAGCTAAGCCCCCAGTGATGAGGGACAGGACAAGCCCCTGCTCCTTGGCCCAAGCATTCTTGAGAAAGGCAACTGCAATGGCATCAAGGACATGGAGCACTCTGAAGTTTCCTGAATTTTTTTTTTTAAGTCTCACTCAGTTAATTCAACATCTTCAAATATTTAAAATTATGCCTACTAGGCCAGGTACAGTGGCTCACACCTGTAATCCCAGCACTTTGGGAGGCAGAGACCTGAAGTCAGAAGTTCAAGACCAGCCTGGTCAACATGGTAAAATGCTGTTTCTACTCAAAATACAAAAAACTTAGCTGAGCATGGTGATGCATAGTTGTAGTCCCAGCTGCTGGGGAGGCTGAGGCAGGAGAACCACTTGAACCCAGGTGATGGAGGTTGCAGTGAGCCGAAATTGTGCCCCTACACTCCAGCCTGGGCAACAGAGCAAGACTTTTTAAAAAACAAAAAAAAGTAATTAAATTTAAAAATAAATAATAAATTTAATACTATGTCTAGGCCGGGCGCGGTGGCTTAAGCCTGTAATCCCAGCACTTTGGGAGGCCGAGGCGGGTGGATCACGAGGTCAGGAGATCGAGACCATCCTGGTCAACATGGTAAAACCCCGTCTCTACTAAAAATACAAAAAAAAATTAGCTGGGCATGGTGGCGCGTGCCTGTAATCCCAGCTACCCAGGAGGCTGAGGCAGGAGAATTGCCTGAACCCGGGAGGCGGAGGTTGCGGTGAGCCGAGATCGCGCCATTGCACTCCAGCCTGGGTATCAAGAGCGAAACTCCGT